GGCTGCTTGACTCCACAGGGATCCCGAGCACCCAGGGGGACCCAGGCCAGCATTCCCCACCCCCGGAAACCCCTGCTCACCTGAGGAGCGATTCCAGACGAAAGCCCCTGGCTCAGACATCAACACGAGACTGTGCAATCTCGCCACCGTCACCCTGCCCCCGCCGGCCTCTGCTGAGGGTCACACCCTCCCTGATGCCCCGCTGGCCACTGGCCCCACCCCGCAGGCTCCCAGCCATCTGCCCCAGGCAAGGGTCCAGGCCTTCCTGGACCTGAACCGGAGATCGAAACGCACCTCCAACTCCCGCACGTGGTCCTCAGCGGCCCGTCAGCCACCCACACAGACCAGAAGCTGCAGAGGTGGCACTGGAGCAACAGACGGGGTCAGACTGACAAAGCCGTGGGGAGTGGACAGATGGAGAAAAGCGCCAACGAGGCGCGCCCAGCCGCCCTCAGCCCCCGCAGGAGGAGCGCGCGCCCAGCAAAGCGTCCCCGAGTGTGACGGGACCCAGGGGGCCCACACAGCCCGGCCCCGCAGCAGCCCCACACCACACCCCTCGCCACCCAGGTGCGCGCTGGTCAGCTCGCGTTCACCAGACTGGGTCCTGCACCCCAGGGGGCCCGGGACAGGCTGCTCCTGGAGGAGTCCGGGGTCAGAGGTCACAGCCTCGGCCTGACACCCGCTCACGGCACCCTCTCCTTCGAGACCTTGCTGCCAGGTCCCGTTCACGTCGCAGAGGAGGAATCCCGGGCCGCCTCCCGGCGGTGGCCCCGCTCCTGCCCCAGGAAAGCTCAATTCCAAGGCCATGTGAGTGGGAAAGCCAGGCCCCCGGAAAAAGGGACCCAGGGATCAGGTAAGGCACCGGGCCTCTCCAAACGGCTGAGGGAGGGCAGACGGAGCCGGGCTGGGTGGCGCAGGCAGCGCCGTCACCTCCCTGCCAGCACCGGGGGTGCCGCGAGGAACGCTCTAGTTCGCAGTGTTTTGGTCTGCTGCCCCTTGGAACGTTCAACAGCTGAAAAGCAGATATGGATCTTGGCCCAGAGCTCACGGGCTCCCCACCCCCCGGGGCAGGCTCCGCCTCCAGGCCCGCTCCTGTTTAAGGCTCGCCCCAGAGGAGGGTCCCTCCACCGCAGAGCCCCTCCCCACCGTCCCACCCTCCAGACCCCTGCATGGGGAACACCAGACACGGGCCAGCTCCAGACCCACGGAGGAGCCAAGGGATGTGCGGGGCCCACCAGGCCGTCCCCACATTTCACAGCCCAGGCCATTGAGGGTGCAGGGCTGGCCAAGGCCACCAGGCACACAGGGAAGGCCAGCTCGGACAGCCAGGCCCCGGCAAGCAGCTTGTGCTGGCCCCTCCTGGAAGGCGCCAGGGGGTTCCGGTGTCCTCAGGGCCAGTGCAGGACGAGGGCCAGAGCCAGGCCAGGCACCCACCAGCGCCACCAGACCTCAGGGGATGCGCCCTGGGGGGGGGGGGGTCCTGTTTCCTTGGTCAGGTGGACAGAGGTGCCAGGGAGGCTGTGACCGTAACACCCGCCCTCCGTCGCAACATCAGGACAGGCATCGGCCCTCAGCAACCACAGACCTGGGGACCAGCCCCGCTGCACTGCAGCTGTGCTGGGTGACCTGCGGTGGGTGACTCAGCCTCTCGGGCACTGGCTTACCGAGTGCGGGAGCTGTGTTGTCACGGGGCCCTGCTGGCGGCCCTGACTGGCTTCCCACCCAGCTTTGCCACTCCCCACGTCCTGCCGGACGCGCTGGCCCTCCAGGCAGTCTTGTCTGCGCTTCCGAAAACACAGCGCCCGTTCCTAAGCCCACGCAGGGAGGCGTGCGAGGCACCTCTGTAAGGACCTGACGCTCGGCCCCGACCTCCCCCAGCAGCAGAGCCTGGGCGGGGCAGGACAAAGCCCTGGGGCCCCCAGCTGCTCACAGTCCCAGGACACAGGCGCACCCCAGAAGAGGTGACGCGGGACACGCAGCGCCCCGGGAACACCACCGTGGGCGCCCCCCACCGGCAGCTCCTCGGGCAGCCCCTCAGGGCGCCCCCTCCAGAGCAGGGCCACGCCTCTGGGGACCAAGGCGGCAGGACCCCCAGCCAGGCCATTTCCTTTGGGCTTCTCGACACAGGGGGTTGCCCGTGAGCCCAGGCGGCTCCATTGTCTGAGCTCAGCGTCCTGTCTCTAAGGCGGTGGGAGCCCCAGCACCTAACTCACCAGGTGAGTCTGGAAAAGCAGAGATAAAGGACAGCTCGTGACCCTGCACGAGAGAGAGAGCACCCCTCGGTCACGGCCACTACCACGGCTGATGTCGCTGGCAGGTGGACGCTGACATGGGCCAGGACGGCCACGGCTCTGCCCACCAGGTCCGTGTGGTTCGCTGTGGCCCTCGGGGGTCAGACCCCACCTGGCCGCCCCGCGACCCACGGCACTGGCCCCGCTGCGCCATTTTACAGATGAGGACACTGGGCTTGGAGACATGCAGTGTGGGCTCCAGGCCACCAGCTGTGGGGACTGGGCTGTGCACCCCACTTCCTCCCCGGGTGGCTCTGGAAGGACTGGATGTCCAACGTCCCTACAGCAGGGCAGCGCCATCAGGATCAGGCTCACACCAGGGCTGGCGAGGCCGAGGGAGCCCGGGGCCGCTGCCCCCCGTCCCAGCCACACACGCGGGGCTGCACCGCAGGAAGCATTTATTTATCTTGGCCCTGAGGGCCTCCATCTCTGACTCTTACCCTCAGTGGCACTTCACTTTGGACAAAGGGGGCCTGTGTGGGGCCACGCGCACCCCAGGAAAAACCCCGGTGGCCCCTACGTTCTCTCGAGAGTTGGGTAAATCCCTGTTTGGAAACCGCACAAAACACACCACTCAGCATGTGCCGGCGGCGACTTGGCCCCGCACCAAAGTACCCAGAATCCTTCCGGCTCCCCCTGCCTCACTTCAGGACAAACTGGCTTTCAATGAGAGGAAGTCCGTCCAGGGGAAGGATGTGGCTGCTGGGGAAGCAGTTTTCAGCGGTGCTGGCCCCTCCTTTTAAAGGGACGGGAATTCCCAAGAACCGAAGTGGTTAAAACAGCAAGTGTGTACTTGGGATCTGCTGGAGCATGAAGTTACATCACTCTAATAGCAAAAGAAATAAAAACTCTTGTCTCACTCGGCCTGAGACAGAGTGGCGGGGACACGGGACACCCAGCCAACCTGCTCCTTGCGCTGGGAGGGGCACCCGAAGGCATTGCCGCCTTCCGTTGGTCTTTAGGGAAGACAGGGCACATTTTCCAACGTGAGCACATCCGACAGCCAGGGAGGCCCGGAGCGAGGGAGATGCTGCCTCCAGAACGTGAACGCCTTGCGGCTCACAGAAGTCTGGTGCCCGGCGGCCACTCCCGCTCAAGTTGAGAGCCACGACCAGGAAGAAGGGCTCCCCGGAGTTCTGAACATCTTCCTGGGCCACTGAGTCCGTCCAAAGCCCGCCTGCCTTCAGCCTCAGAACGGGACCTACCTTGTGTGCCGGAAGGCCAGGCAGAGGGGGAAACCCGGCGCTCTCCGGTTCAAGACCCGTTCTTCCTGAAAATGACAAATGGGCTTCCTTCTCTGGTCTTGAACGTGGGTGACCACAACGGGATGCTGGCTGCGGGCCAGGCACAGGCGGCGGTTCTCACGCACGCCTCGCGCGCACGAGCTTCCCGGGGAGGCGAGGCAGCCACCCAGGAGCTCACGGCATGTGAGCGGCGGAGCCAGGCTCCGCCCCCGGCGCGTCCCTCCAGTGACGGAGACTCGACAGGCCTGTGCTCACGGCAAAGCAGCTGTTCTGGCTCTTCATTCAGGATCCTGATTTTTTTTTAAGATGCGTAACGCTTGTTTCTGGATCTTTACAGTAAGACACCCTCTCCGCTCACCAAAGGCGCTAGACATTAGAAAGAGATGACCGCACAGAAAAGCTGCCGCACAACCCGTGAAATCAAACCCCGCGCACGGCCCGCCAGGCGCACCCACCCGCCTCCGCGTTCAGACCTCGAGCAGAACAGGCAGCGGCAGTGACCCCGGCTCCCGGGCACCCAAGCCCAGCGCGTCCCAGCTGAGCCCGGCGAGCCCAGGTGAGCCCCACTGTCTCTCAGTGTAGAGTCTTGGCACCCATGTTTTACAGGTGAGTCTTGAAGCTCCCCACACCACCTGCTTTACCTGGATCCTCCTGCCAGCAAGATGTCTACACCAGCAAAAGCCCAGTCCCAGTTCATGAGACCCCCCCCCCAGAAGCCGCGCCAGCCTGGCCATCCTGCAGTTCATCCCGTCTCTGGGCAAGTCTGACAGTGCCAGCCGGATCGAGGCACCCAGCCGTCCCGGACGCCTGCTCCGCAGAACGGCTGCCAAGATCAGCAGGACCACAGACCCCCCCCTTCACGTGCTGCCCCGCCCTCCTCGCTTCCACGTGAGGCGGCTGTTCTGGTCTCTCCCTGAGGCTCCACGTCCGACCTACTGGGCTCCAGGCCGCCCTTCCACCTGCTCCAACGTGGATTTATCAAGAACAGCTGGCTGCCACGTGCCAAGTACTTACTACAAGCATTCAACCTCGTGTAATTTTTGCCACGTTCTTCAAAGTAGCTGCCTTCGTGACCCCATTTCACAGATGGAGATACTGAGGCTTAGAAAGGTCAGAACACCCTGCCCGAGGCCTGGGATCAGCACAGGAGAGAATGGAGAGTTTGGCCCTGAGCCCGGCCAGCCCCTGAAGTTCGCCAAATCCTGCCACGTGGCCCCAGTAGGACCCAGTAGAGAGATGAGGCCCAAACTTCATTCTCCCCACGTGCTCAAAGCCCGACAGCCCGTTCGACCACCTGTTTCCACTGGCAGATACTCCTCCTACCGTTAAATAGAAGCAGCTTTCCTTCCCTGGGGCCCCCGGCTTGGCTGGCCCCAGGTTACCGAGGAGAGGACGGGCCTGCTGACGGCGACCACGCGCCGGCATCCGTCCCGGGGTGGCGTGGGGCTGCCTGTCCCCCACGTACCTCAAACACTTCCTCATCCAGAATCCGCGTGCCGAACACGATGATGCCGTTGACGTCAATCATGGGGTGGTCGCTACGGTCTAGGAATTTGGTGGTCTTCTTTTTACAGTCCAGGATCAACGTGACATTCTTCTTGTGGATGCTGAGAGCGATTCTGTGCCACCTGCAAAGAAACGGACAGCCCGTGCAGGTGAAGGACGGCTCGTGTCACAAAATAGCGGCATGAGGGACCCTGCTGCCAAAGCCCTGCAGACCTGGGAAGGAGTCCTGCTTCCCGCAGCGTGGCGGGGGCCAACTGCTCCGCGCCGACTCCCTGCAGTCAGGTAGGCTTGGGCACGGGTCCACACCGCGTGCACGTGAGACCCCCGCACTCAGGCCCCAGGTGTCTCACGTCTGGGGCGAGGCCAGCCGTCCAGCCCCAAGCAGAGCCGTGAAACCGGGCGTGGGCTGGTCAGCGGGTCAGAGGCGGGGAGGCCTGGTGGTGCACCCTTGTGCTGCTCGGCTTCTCCGACAGCAAACTGCAGGCTGTCAGAGAAGCTGAGTCTGATGGGAAATGGTGGAATTGACGGGCCTCCGTGAAACTCTCGATGAGAAACGCGGGAATCACAACCTGGGGTCTTCAAGGATCACGACACGTGGCCTCAGACGTGTCAGCCACAGAAGAGGTGACTTCCAAGCTACCAGGGTTTAGGGGTGCAGCCAACAGAGAATTCTGGAAAGACTTGGCTTTTTTGGGTTTGTTTTTTAAAGTCACTCACTCCCACACCTGTGTCTGTATCCTTGAGGGTACAGTTTTAAATGCTTTCAGGACAGTCTGGGTGGAACGACACAATCTCCCTTGTCCCCTTGGACACTAAGAGGCCAGCATCTGATGTAGTTCAGTGCAGTTTACAAAGGGGACATGGAAGTCGGGGAGAAGAAAGGTTCCCCAGAGCCACAGAGGGTGACCCAAGACCAAGACGCCCAGCCTGGCTCTCTCTCTGCCTGGCGCCCACCTGTGGGCGTGCCGGCACCATCCTGCTATGATGTCCTCGGTTTGGCCAGGGAGCTTTATGGCCTCCCCTGACCCCCAGTGGGAGAGGTGTGCTGAGTGATGCCACTTACTTGCCATCCGACAGATTGATGCCTCTGAAGAGGGGGTAGTCCTCTGGCCCCGGCTTCCCTGTGTGGTCCTCGTAGAGGAAGACCGGAGAGCGGCCCAGCTCCAGGCCAATCTGCTGGATGCCTTGCTCGTTGTAAATGGAGACCAGGAAGGCCTGGCTGCCTTTCTTGGCTTTCACAGTGGTTAGAATGGAGAAATCTTCAGGAAATGCAGATGCTGGAACAGAGGTCAGAGACAAGAAGACAGTCAGGAAGTTCCCAACCACGCCCAGCCACGGCTCTCTGCAAACGAACCAGCTCAGGGACCTGGCAACCTTTGCTGTGTATGGTGGTACCCACACAAATGCTGCACATCTCCCCTTGATCAAACTGTTCCTGCAGCCTTCCCCTATCACCACATGGCCAAACCTACCCGCTTTGAGGCTCAATTCAAATGCCGACCTGACTGATCCTTCCAGCTGTGAGCCTTCAGTGCTATCTTTGCAGTTCCCACATCTCCATACATCTATGCATAAATTCTAATGAGAACTTTCCAGAACGTGAGCTTCCTCTGGGCAGGGGCTGTTTCTGCCGTGCCTACAGCTGTGCCTGGCAGAGTGTGACTCCTCTGGCGCCCTCTGGAGGGAGAGAGGAGCAGGAGACGGGGAAGGAAGGCAAGGGGGGGTCATGGCTAGAACCACGCTTTTTGACATTTCGCGGCTGATATGCAAACCAGAGAAAAAGAAAATAAATCAAAAGACGTCAATTCAAACTTAAAAAGGAAAACCAAACACTGGTACGTCTGGGGCAGGGAAAGCGCCTTACAACACAGGCTGGAAACGGTCTGAAGGTGCGTGTTAAAAGCCAGACCCAAGCTGGCCCGGCCGAGGGCGCCAGGCCTGCTGTAACCCAGGGCACTCCACACCCACAAACAGCCCCCGCGCCCTTGGTCCGCGGCGTGACCGGAAACCCGGCCCCTCCTCCCGTCCATCGACCCTGGTGGTGGCGTCAGTGGCTCTCTCTCCGGCTGAAATCTGCAGTTGTGCTGAGAGCGAGGGCCGGGCTGAGCGCTGGCGAGTGGATCATCTCAGTGGATCATCACCGGGCATCTCAGAACCCGGCAGAGGGAGCCGGCCCCGAGGGGCCGCAACGGGGACACGTGGCTGGGGAAGGGCTGGAGCCCAGCTGCTGGTCCTGGGCGAGGCAGAGCCCACGCCAGAGCCCCCACTCCGTCAGACCAAGGTCACAAGGTCAACCAGGAGGCCTGGAAGGCCTTCGGGGCCCCTCGGGGCAGCAGAGCAGGGGCTGGCTCAGCTTCCCGCAGGGAGGTCATTATCCGTGGGTGCCCTCTGCTGGCGGAACCGCCGTGCGGCCGGGCAGCCGGCCTCTGCTTCTGGTCCCTGGATGGGGGATGCTGCAGGTGCCCCCTGGGGGGAGCGGCTGCCAAGGCCCGCGAGCAGAGGAGAAACCCCCTGCGGCCCCGGAAGACCCGGGCAGAGGGGTCTTGCTAGGGCGACGGCCAGAGGGCCCGCAGCCGAGAAACCCGCTGGGGCCCAACAGAGTTGTGCGAGGTCTCAAGGCCGTGACGAAGGCCGGTGGGAACCCGTCCCGAGGACCCCAAGCCCTGGCCAAGGCGAGGACTCCGAAAGGCCCAGGGCTCGCAGCCCAGGCTCCAGCACCGCGCTGAGGAGCTGGATGTTGTAATCTGTTTGCTGTGCTCAGCTCTGCGGCCCGGCCCTCCCCCACAGGGGGCCCGGCTCGAGGTCCCCAGTCCCGGAGCAGAGGGACAGCTCCAACTGGCAGGTGATGGTGATCAGCGTGGCCATCTCTCTGAGGAAAGGCCAGCTCCACTGAGGAACCCGCTCAGACCGCCCATCCACAGACGGACGCCATTTGGAAAGGGGGCTGCTGAGGCCACTAGTATCACTCAGCTGTCCCTCCACACTGTCCTCCAAACATGGGAAGTGAGGGAAATCGAGGACCCCGGCCTTCGTGAACAGCCGTGGGCAGGGAGGGGCTCTGCATGCAGCCCCGGGGGAGACCCCGGCCAGGCCAGCGCCAGGACCTCATGGCCCCTTCAGTCCTGGGGGTGAGCGGGCACTGAGGGCCCAGCTGGCGTTTGACCCGAAGGATCCCAGCGGTCACTGCCCACGTCTGCTGCCCCGTGTTTCAACCGCTGCGGGGACACAGTCTCAGCCCAGGCAGCCCGGACGGGTAGATGGCACTTCACGACCATCTCTCTCCTGGCAAAACGACGGCAGATTCCCTGCCACTTCCGATGGTCCACTCTAGTCCTGACCGGGCCGGGCGCCGACACGCTTCACAATCCCCGCTGTCTGCGGAAGCTCGCCTGCTGTCGGACGTGTCGTATTTTATTTCTCAGAGAAGTCGAAGTTGAGGGGCGCGCTGGGCAAGAGGCCCGCTTACGTCCTTAGATCATTTCCTTGTCACTTGGGCTGAGGCCCAAAGGCACTGCGGCCATGTAGGTAGACAGTGGGAGTTTAATAAATGCATTTGCTATTAAACTGAATTCTACTCAGCCCACGGTTTGGGGCGAGATGTCCTGCTGGACGGAGGCAGACTCCGCAGC